GGTGGGGATGGTGACCTGCTCCGGCGGTTCCCAACCCACCACCAGTTGCTGCTGGGATTTAGGGGAAATGCCTTCGAAGGACCCCTGCAGTTAGGGCCCCCATCCTTCCCCCCGGAGCATCTCCGCAGGGCCATCCCAGCGCTCTGAGCAGACTGGGATGAAGCTCCAGGGTTCAGAGGCCGTCACAGCCCCTAAAAGCTCCCCAGTTTGCTGGGCTGCAGGGCCCGGGCACTGCAGGGTTAATTGCTACATTAATTACTCTTTTCAATCTCCCAGTGCAAATGGGTGGGTTACTTGAAATAAAAGTTCCCATCACACCTAAACAGTGTTCCAGGCGATGCAGCCGCCTACGAGGCGGGATGTGGGTTCTGGGCAGCACCAGGACCCCCAGGTCCATCCCCCCGGTGCAGACCTTGGCTTTGTGCTTCCCGGTCCGGCCGGAACGCCGTGCTCCATGGGGACCGGGTTTCTAACCCCAGCCCTGTGCGTGATCTCTGTGCACCCGGGTGAGCCAGGGCAAAGCAAAGTGGTGATGGTGGTTCCCTGGCATCTGGACCCAAACCGAGCAGCCCACACCTCCTGCCGTCGGTTTTCCCAGGATATTTGCCCTCGAGATCCAAAAGAGCCTTGAAATGAAAGAGTTCCTGTGTGGGGAAGGAAGGGTTAAATCAGAGTTGTATGTTTTCCAGATGTTTCTAGGTCTGCAGATGAGCTCCAGGTTGGCTGGCCAGGTCCATGGATGCGTCTCGGGGCTTTTCCTTCCTTGGACACGGACGGGATGCTGGCCCGGTCAGCTGGCTTGGCTGGAGAAATCTCCACTCGAGTGGAAAAGTTGACCCTGGTCTGATTTTTCCAGTGCAGGCGGTGAGGAACATCCCATTGGGGATGTATCCTCCACAAGCCGTGTCTTCTCCTGGAGCATGAGCGTGAAGGTCCAGCCCCACCAGCAATTCCCATGGAGCTGCAGAAGCCCCATGATATCCCTGGAGAAATGTTCTGGAAAAGGGCAATGAGTCCAGGGGGATGCGGAGAGAGGATGGCAGGAGGGGACAGGGATGAAGCTGTGGCTGCCCCATCCCTGGCAGTGTTCCAGGCCAGGCTGGATGGGGCTTGGAGCAACCTGGTGTGGTGGAGGGTGTCCCTGCCCATGGCAGGGGGGTTGGAACTGGATGGTCTTGAAGGTCCCTTCCCACCCAAACCGTTCTGTGATTCTATGACTGGTTGGCTTGTGCATGAGCCGGTTGATGGACTGAAAGAGCACCCTCAGCACAGGGTGACACACAGATGTCACGGAGGACAGGTCAGCAGGGCCACCATCCCAGGGTGGAAGGTAGGAAATGACTGCAGGGTGAGAAAGAAGCCAAACCGGGTGGTTACTACACCAAATGCTGCTCTCTCGTGCCAGCGCACGCACCCAGGGGGTAAGGCTGATGCAATGCTGCTCGTGTTGGCAGCAGGAACTGCAGGCAGCTCCGCTGCTGGAGGTCAGAAATTACCTCCTCTCGGCTCAGGTGGGCTCTGGAGGTCAGTTATCTCCACGGAGGTGTAGATGTGCACGGAGTGATCCCCTCCTTGGTGGGGAAGACCCTGTCCTGGACCTGCTGCTGCTGGCGATGAAGGCGTTGGCAGCGTGGCCATCTGGCAGTCAGCCCAGGAGAGCCCCAGGCTCTTTACAGAAGCTCCAGGAGCCTCCAGCTGGGGAGTCATCTCGGCATCACATCAGCCAAACAACTGGCCAAACCAGGGCGATATGGACCACAGGGACCGGGGCAGTATCGGGCCATCCCTGGGTCTGCCACTGCGCAACGGCGAGGAGGCGGAAAAGTGGTCGGTGTAAATCGTTTGGGCTTTGGGCAAGGCTGGTGAGATCGGGAGGGTCGGAACTAGGTGATCTGGAAGGTCCTTTCCAACCCAAACCATTCCACGGTTCTTTGGTTATTTTCCTGGTGGGGTTTCGAGCGCAGCCCTGGGAGCAGCTGAGCTGGGCAGCAGAGGGATGCGGATGGAGATGGGCTCAGGGATGATCACGATGCCCCTTTGAAAACAAGGAGGTTGTGCCACGGTTCAGAGGCAGCGTGAAGGTGCCCTTGGAGGCAGGATGGACGCTGAGCTATTCCAGTCCCATCATTCCTGTGCCTTTGGGTGTACCAGTTAGCAGGCATGACGCACTCCAGGACTGGGAATGAGTGGGACCCACGTCCCCCCCAGGCCATGGTAGCTCGAAGAGCTGTCTCTGCTGCCAGATACACCAAAACACCCACCTTTCGGGGACATCTGCCGCTGGGATGGGCTGGGAAGAGGCTGGTGACCACACCAGGCACCGGCTGAGCTCCCCTTCAGCATTACCCGGGGCCGTGGAGGCTCCCTGGGGAAGGGCAGCCCCACACAGGGTGGAGAGGACCAGCTCTGGGCTTGCCCCAGCAGTGAGACCACACTGGGACCAGCCCACAAAAAAACCTCACTCCCTGAGCAGCCTTGAGGCTGAAGCCCGGCTTGTGGTTGTGTCTCCGGGTGTCCTTGTGCTGCTGGAAGACCTGGAGGCTTCAACCGAAGCTGGTCTGTGCCCTAAGGGGGGGGCAGAGACCCCAGAGATGGCAGCTGAGGAGGGAAAGATCAGGTGTCCTCGTGCTGCTGGAAGACCTGGAGGCTTCAACTGAAGCTGGTCTGTGCCCTAAGGGGGGACAGAGCCCCCAGAGATGGCAGCTGAGGAGGGAAAGATCGTTACCTTTGATTAACTGGGGAGCAGGAAGTCACTCCCAGTTAGCACCAGTCACACACGAGCATGTGGCACTGACCACCAGCTCGCATCTCCCATGGACCTGCCACGCTCTGGGTGGGAGAAGACCCTGCTGAGAAGCTTTCCCTGTGCTCGTCATTCCCCCCCGGGGGTCATGCACAAGAGGAGTGGAGCAATACTGGGATACTGGATTTACCAGCCCTCCTCCCACTCCAGGCAGCCTATAATTAAGCCGCACGCCTAACGAGTTTTGGCAAAGTTTGGGTGCAGCCTGCCCAGGAAAGTCCTCGATGGCATCACGCTCCTCCCTCCCTCCCCTCCGCCTTCCCAGGGGACCCACATATAACAGGGAGCGCCAAGGAACACCGTCACTCCCAACCCTGCTCTCCGGGACGCTCCGGAACGCCCAACCTAAGATGAAGACGTGGATCCTCCTTGTTGGAGCAGGATTAGCCCTGGGCTGCGTGTCGAGCAGTGAGTAATGGAGCTTGGCTTCGGCAGAGGGGCTAAACCAACCCCTGCGTCCCATGGGAAGGGGCCAGGGATGGGTGGAAAGCAGAGGGTGCTGAGGGTGCTGCCAGGAGCCAGGAGCTTGGCTGTACTGGGACAGCTGGTTCCTTGCAAGGTCGGATCCAGCAGAGCTTCACAGGAGAAAAAGTGAGGGATGTTGTCATGCCGTAGGGCTTCCTCGAGCTCTGGGTGGTGATGAGGGTGGTTCGTCCTCCTCTTCGATGGGTTGAGACTTCCTCTGGTCTTTAGCTTTGTCCACCAGTTGCTTCCTGGTGCATCTCGCTGTGCTTTGGTCGTGCAAGCCCTCCTTCCTCTGGATCCTCCATCCTCCCACACTGGGGGAGGACGAAGGGAAATATTTTTCTAATGCCTGATTCGTAATTCCCCCGGGGCCACCGGAGGTGAGCGGAGGAGCCGGTCCGATGCAATGGGAAACGCAACGTGAACTCAGGTGTTTTGCCCTTGAGGACTCTGCTGAGGTTATTATGAGAGGAGACAGGCTTGGAGAGATCGATGAACCATGAACGGTTTGGATTGGAAGGGACCTTCAACATTGTCCAGTCCCAACCCCCCTGCCATGGGCAGGGACACCCTCCACCACACCAGGTTGCCCAAAGCCCCATCCAACCTGGCCTGGAACACTGCCAGGGATGGGGCAGCCACAGCTTCTCTGGGAAACTTGGTCCAGTGCCTCAGCACCCTCAATGTAAAACATTTCTTCCTCAGATCCCATCGAAATCTCTCCTCTTTCCATTTAAAGCCATTGCCCCGTGTCCTGTCACTCCACACCCGTGTCCAAAGCCCCTCTCCAGCTTTCCTGTAGCCCCTTTAGGCACTGGGAGGTGCTGGA